TAAGGATTATGTTTGACTACAAGTAATAAATAGTACAAGTGTCCTTGTACTATTAATTTACAAGTAAGGAATTCATTCCGTTTATGCAATAGGTATAGGGCATATGTGGCAATCACAAGGCCTGTGGCCAAATCCGGCCCTCCACTTTGTTTCTGCCTATTCGCAGTGTCAAGCTCCTTGCCCCTAGTTAAGGACTAGTTACATTTATACAGTCCTAAAATTCCATTCGGCCCTTTAAAGGCAACTGCAAGGCTGATGTGACCCTCAGTGAAAATGAGTTTGACACCCTTGGAGTAGGGGAAGGCAGTCTAGGCTGGTATATGGCTCAACAATGTAATCTAGACCAAGATCCTTTCAGAGTTCAGCTTTCCCATGTTTAATACATGCCCCTGCAGGGATAGTACCTATGTTCCCAGAAAAAAGAAGCACAAAGGGGCCAAAAGCTGCTAGGGTATACCAGCCAAGTGTGTCCTCCTCACTAAGCTTTCAGGGAAACCCCCATCCAACAATGTCCACTCACATTACTGCACGACCTGAGCCTTATGGCCACTCTAGGCTGTAAAGGAGTCTAGAAAAGTGAGATGGACATATTCCCATCTTAAACAAAACTGAGGTTCTTTTAGTTAGAAAGGACAGAATAAATGTTGAGTAGTCAACCAGCAATGTCTACCCTAATATTAAATTAGATATTTTATGTAAAGTGTTAAGCACAGTAACCTCACACATAGTTAACTGTTTGATAAAAAACTATAATTACTGCTATTATTATTATTATTATTGTTATTATCTACCTTATATGTCTATTATATTCACTGTTATTTCTGTATCAACAACATCATCCCTGCTTCAAGCACCAGGAAAATGTCATTTCATCCAAGAAGTCTTTCCTGACACCTACTTCTAATAAGAGATCCTATGATAGCAGGACCCACATCAGATAAAAACCATGTTCAGCATCCCATTCAGCACAGTCCCTTGAAATGCAGTATGTTCTAATAAATATTACCTTGGTAATTTAAGTAATTCATATAAATACTTATACCTGCTTTTAAAGTCAGCCCTCTAGAATCAAACATGGTGTATTCCTGAAATGCAGAAGTTAAACACTAGGTTCATATGTATAAAGCTAGGGTTGGGAGTGAGGGGACAAAGACTGCATTCCCCAAGAATAAGAAGAAAAATTATAAAATTCTTTAACAACACCCTACTTTTTGCACACTGTGGGAGTCCAGATTATAGTTCACCAAATATTCCTCCCCTACCATGGGCAGAGTCTACTTTTACCCATGGATGTTGGGCTTCCCCATGTGACTTGTTAAGTCCAAAAGGTTGTTAGTGAAAATGACATTCGTGCAATTTGGCTTGGCTCTTGAATCCAGTGATCTCCCACAAGAAGAGCATGCCCCAAGCATCTGCTATCCCTTGAGCCTGGGCCCCAGAACACATGTGGAGCAGACCCGAACCAGCCTGCAGCCTACAGCAGGGCCACCCCTCCAGCCTCAATCAGTCAAATCACATTCAACCTAAGGACTCATGAGTATGAGAATAAATATGCCTGTTGCTGTAAGTCAGGGAGTTTTGTTATTCCCCAAAAGTTGACAAATATATCCTTTACCATTTGATATATTTTAGCACTTCTTACATATTCATTTTGTTCTTTTTCTTCACGTGAAAAAAAAACAGGCTAAAGAATCTCTGCCTTTGGTACACCCAATTATTTCTATCTTTGGATCAACTGTTTTAAATTAATGAAACCAACATTGTTATTAATATCAGTGGGTTTTTTTGCTTTCTATTTATTCTACTAGCTCTCAAAAATGAAAAAAATCAAATAAAGTATCAAGAAATAATATAAACATTGCTAAAACTAAACTGTTGGCTGGAAAGCAGGTCTCTCCTATGACAGCCAAAATGTTAACATCTTAGCTAATAAAAGGGTAAAAGGATGCCCTAGTAAAACAACAACAAAAAATGTAAATTGTACAAAGTCATCCTCATCAAAGTCAAAGACTATCTTTGAGGTGAATCTGTGGACTCCAACACCATGTATCTAAGCACATTTTTCAGGATTACTGTTTTGGTAAGCCATACCACTGAATTTCACCAGTAAGCTTAAGTATTATCACTTTTCCAATGCAAAAAAAAAAAAAAAAAACAATTTGGGCATACTATTGTAATTGAATAATTTTCAATATGGTTATATTTAAGCACTAATGAAAAACAGTCTTTTTGAAAGTGAAAGAAAAAATAAAATTCCAATTCCTCAGCAAGGGAGACAGAGAGAGCAAGCCAGTTGAATGATGTTAAAAGCATGTATTCGACCAAGACCAATTAAAAATTTCAATTGGAAATTTAAGTATCAAGAAAAATGGAAGAGTGTGGATTTTGTTTTATTCTACCTTCTTGTAAGTCACCATCATTAATTTGGAAGCCAAACTTCCATTGGGCCAAAGCTGACCTACTAGAAATATATAAGTCACAAAGTTACTAAATTTGCCTACCAGTGGAAATGACAGTCTTTAAAGTGGCAAGGCAAACAGCACAGTACAAAGACCATCAACATGGCAATGGACTCTAAACAGAATAGGCCTTGTGTACACTGGGAGAGGCCACGCTTCAGACTGGACACATACAGACAATAAAACCAAAATTTGAAATTGAGACCACAGCCAAAATTACAGGCTCTGGGTCAGAGAAACCTGCATTGAAGTTCTCAATCTCACACTGAGCTGTAGCAAGATACTTAACTCTGTTAGTTTTTTCTATCTATAATTTGGGCATAATAATAGTACCCACCTCATAGAGGCTCTACCAAATTTTAAAAAGATAATGCATGTAAAGTACTCAGCAAAATGCTAGTGCATGCCATGCAATAACAATAATAATAATAGTAATGGCAATAATACTACCTTGACAAACCTGGCTCATGCATGAGGACTGTCCTAATCAGTGTACTCTGGCTCATAATCTGTTCATGAAATGCTGAATGCACAGTTTTGTATTCTCATCCAGGTACAGCTTCTATGAAGTAACAGCATTCTGGATTAACCAGTAATTTTTCTACTGAATTCAAGAAGAAGGATGTTGAAAAATAAGCTTTTCACTAACAGAAAATTGAGAAGCATCTGGTCCTTCTGCCCACAGTCCATCCACACATGAAAGTCTTGCTGGCAAAAGCCATGTTTCTGGCACTGTCCACATACCACCCCTCCAAACCGTGCAAGGCTTTTATTAAAGCACAGAAGCAGACTGACAAGATGGCTCACCTTAGAAGCAAACTCACCTCAAAGGCAACTCTTCTATGCTCCAGAAAGGATCTGGCTTAACCCCACTGCCACCTCCATACTGATACCCAAACTGGAGATGAAGAAGGCAACCTCACTTCCAGAAGTTGAGTTTCACTGTCAAAAACTAGAAGAACCCCTTCTATTTGTGGTAATCCTAAAAAATCATGCTTTTCTGCTTCAAAAATATCTTATGAATTCATCCAACAGAGCCAAGAGCCAAGTATTGTACACTGAGAAACAATGTGACATTACAAGGACAAGAGTGACCATCAGAGACAAAGTGCCACACCCTTTTCCGGAGAGCTCAACAGTAAATGGTGTGTCTTATAACAGAACCAGCAGTTCTAGAGAGAGAAGTGGAAAATTCTAACCCTCAACGGCCTCTCTCCCTACGATTTCATTCTTTACACAGATCCATTTCATTTTTAAATCAATGACCTGAGCATCCCTAAGTACTACAACTAATAAAGGGTGGCAGAAGAGACAAACACAAGCCAAACATACTTGCTTCTAAGCGCATTTTGGGAGACTTTTCTTCCCGCTTGTCTGCCTCTCACAGCTGGAGCCTCATACCTGGTGGAAATCAATGGTTAAGTAAAACCACTGATTTTAAAAAGCCAACCAGGAAACTAACCATGACAAGTGCGAGCTGCCCTCCTCTCCCGAGCATTGATTGGCTCTTGGGGTTCCACTGGTCCCTCTTGGGCCCACATAAATGGCAGATGTGGCTGTCAATCACACAGGGTACTGACAATTCATTGCTCCGGGAGTAAATTGCCTTTCATCTAGCAAAGGCAGGTAGCTACCTAAAATCGATCCACTCGTATAGAGCAGACCCTCCCTCTCTGGCAAAGAGAACAGAGACCCTTAAGTACAAAACAAATAAGGCAGGGCCGATCAGAGAGTTTATGAGAGCTGTTATATTATCCGCACCAAAGCAGCCCTAAAATGTCCTAAAGTGATCTTTCAAAGGCTTGGAAGGTAATTTAAAAAAAAAAAAAAAGAAGCAGAAAAATGGGCACAACCCTCTAAGTACCCCTTTTCTTGTATAATTCGGGGGTGGTGAGGGGAAGCGTAAGAATGTCGTTCAGTTTAATTTCACATCGTATTCGTTTTCCTACACCACTACCCTTATCCTCCCCAATTTAATCCAGCTTTATTTTCCCTGACAAGGAATTTTTTTTTTTAACACGCTCCCCTCAGAGTCCGTGGAGGCAGCCTGGAACCCCACCCCCTGAGCTGGGGCTCCACCTTTCTCCACTTTGTCCTGCTTGAGGTTTCCCGAGACCCTGGTCCCCGCGGACACCCACCCCTCGCAGCAAGAGGGAGGAAGCCAGGCGAAAGAGGGGGAGCCGAACAGAAAATAGGCGATGGCAGTGAGGGTGGCTGCAGAAGAGGGACTGCGGGAGGTGGCCGGGGCAGCCGGGACCAGCGAACGGCGCCCGCGCGCCGGAGGAAGCAGTGCACTTGTTCCGATCCCGGGGGTTCTAAGTGAAGGCAAATCCGCCTTTAGGCCGCCCCATCCTTTCGCCGCCCCATCCTTTCCCCGCCCCAGAAAGCCCCGGTGGAGAAGGATGGTTCACCCCTCAGCTCCCCTGGATAACGCATTGCAGCTCCCCACGAGTGAGGCGCACCCGGCATGAGAGATGCCGGGCACTGGCGCTGGGAGGGAGCCGGGCGCCAGCTGCCCCAGCCTCGGTGTCGACGTCTCACCTTTCGGATGCTCGCCCCGGGGCGGACCCACATGGATTTTTACAACCTCACGTCGCCTCGGCCCCGGGCGGCCAGGAGGAGCCGGCGCCGAAGCGCCAGCCAGCAGCAGAGGGAGGAGGAGGAGGAGCCGGGCTGGGAGCGAGGGAGGGAAGAAGGGAGGGTACTGCTCCGAGGGCCCTGCCGCGCGAAGCCGGGCGGGGCTGACGGCCAAGGGGGCGGCGCCCGCCGCAGTGTTCCAGACGCGCGCTCGCTCCGCGTTGCCTGAGCGCGTCTCAGCCGGGCCGCAGCACAGCCGCTCAGCGGGCCTGTGCGCTGGCCCGCGGCCCTGACTCACATTCCCAGCATTCCCGAGGAGCCGCTCGGGTGGGGGGGTCCGGGCTGGGAAGCGGACGTCTCCGCCGGGGGCAGCAGAGAGTGCCCGGCCCCGGGCGTGGTGCGCTCGGCGGGGGTCTTCCAAGAGCCTACTTCCTGGAGGCCACAGTCTTGAAGCACCTGGTCTCGGTCTTCTGCCCCTGACGCCCCTTCCCGGGTACCCCACTCCAAAAACTGCCAGACACTCCTGGACTAGTCAGGTGGCTTTGGCGACAGGGGCAGGAAGGGCAGTTGGTGGAGGAGATGCAACTATCTTCAATTTAAGCTATAGAGTTGGGGTGGAGGTTTCCATACCCTGGCACCTTGACATTAGGTTAAACTTCTTAAGGAACGTGAAGGGATTTCATAATTTTTTTTTTTTTTTTACTTTCTTGTTCCCCCAAGGAAGGGAGAGAATGGAAGATGAAGGGAGTAAGAAAAAAAAATCATCATCATCGTTGTCATTCATGAAGTGCCTCCTCTGTGCCTTGCAATGTCTGCGTGTCCTCCCATTTAAAGTAGATAGGTGGTGTCTGAGTTCATTCACACATACACATGAATATCTCAAGGTGAGGTGCAGGATAAGCTGGACAAGTTTTTCATTGGAAAAAGCTTCTACTCAACAAGTCTGGAGCCCCAGCAACTACCATTTTATATTAGCCAGGGAATTTGAAATGTCATAGGTGTATCCAGATTTGGCCTCTCACTGAAAGTCCACTTGCAGGATTAGAGCAGTAATTTCCTTCCATTCCTAATGAGTCTACTTCCAGCAATTTCAGTAACCAGGTAGAAATTCTCCTGATGGGAAAATCAGACAAATGAAGCAAATTTGGCCATGGGATGACTTGGTGAGCCGAGGTATGGAATCAGCACAGTGACTAGGGATGATTCCTCTTCCCTTCTCTGATGGGAATTCAAATATTACATGAAGTGGATGCTGTAAGAGGAGGATGCCTTCCTGTTCTAATCCATATGCCCTGTTCCTTAAGCCTCCCTTTTACATTTCTGGTATTGAAGGTTTTTCACAGATTCATGGTCCCAGAGGTCTCTTTGCCCTAACGTCCTCTTTTAGTCACCAAGAAAATGGCACTTACTCTGTCATCCTGGATGCTCCCTGGGCAAAACCAAGTCACACTGTTGTGTTTAGTTTCCCATGTACATCCTTAGCAACCTCAGCTGAAAAACCATATTATATATTTAAAAAGCCTTGTCAAGAGTCCTTTGAGAAGTCCTAAAATCCCATGTTTTGAAATATGACCAGTGTTTATTGAATACCTCCTATGTGCTACACTTACATTTTCTCAACTACTCTAACAAAAACTCTGTTTACTATCTATACCAGCCCACCAGAATCAAAAAAGTTTACATAGAGGCCTGATTCTCCCAAGGCTATGTCCTTGGGCAGAACATACATTCCAAGGACAAAGAAGGAAGTGAGGAGCCCCCAGCTACTCAGGTAACTTCTGGTAGCTCCTGGGTAACTGGCCATCACTGTTCTCTCAATTACCTCCTCCAACACGAGGTGGTCTGGCCCCAAAATCAACAAGACAAAATTAACTGAACTTGGTGAGCAATTAAATGTGGGACAAAAGGGAGGAGCCAAGAATGCTCCCCAGTGTCTAATTTGGGAAACTAAATGGATAATGTGCCATTTGCTAATGCTGGAAATAAAGGGGTTGGAGGGAGATACAGGTTTATGGAAGTTATGAACAACTTACGGGTTCAGTTTAGTCATTTTACATTTGAGGTACCAGGGAGGTGATATTCTCAATTGAGAATATTGAGAATATCACCTCCTTTGAGTTCAGATGAGAGATATATGATAAAGACAGTGTATGGGAGTCATCACATTTGGTAATTAGAGCCATGGTCATGGCTGAGTAACCTAGAGGTCATTAGCCATGGAAAGAATATAATTAGATGAGGGGAAAAATCCCTAAAAAAAATTATCTGTTCTTCTTAGACGTAAAGTTATTTGCACATGTCTCTTAACAGAGTAGATTTTAGTTCAAGAGAAACATCACTGGGCTACCAGGAAAGAAAAAAAGGCAAAAATAACTGACCCACTAGTGCCACCACCACCTGATCCTTAGGAAGCCAACCTGAACCAATTCTTTGCCAGGAATGTTTTAAGACCTTTGTAGCCCTAATCATCATAGTAAGCATGACAACATTCAGCATATCAAATTTTTTTTTGGCAGAAATTTTTTAAAGTTTTTGTAACATTCCCTTTTAAATTAGTTAAATAATTCATTTTATTTACCCATGGCTATGATTTGTCCATAATCATTAAGCATACACAAGAATTATTGTGAGAAGAAAATTCAACCTATAGTTGTTTTCAAATGGGAGGAAATGTGTGTAAATATGAAAAACCTTAATATTATGTCTTATAGATATTTACAATTAAACGTTTACAGTTTTCTGTAAATCTGTAATCTCAAGGCATGCAAGTCATTCAGGGCTTGCAAGCCTGGTGATTATATGTTCATATAACCTAAAATTACATCAATTTATTCAGTTCCTTGGTTTTTAATAGTTTTCCATATCCATGATTTTGGCCACTTATAAAGTCTGGTCACTCTTGCTGTCCTTGGGTTCCATGAGAGGTTCCCGTGCCCATCCAAAAGATAGCATACCTTTCATTTTTCTGCCTTGGGTAGCTTGAGCAAGTGTCTCTTGCTCAGAGCCATAAGTATTCTCTGAATTGGAAAGCCAACTTCCTTATGCTGAGACAACACCCTTTACTCCAATCCACTAGAATCCAGTGGCACAATCTGGCCCAGTGACCAGATTCCCCAAAGGAAAAAAAAATTTAGGGGAAAACTTCATAAGCAGATATTGTGGCAGTCATTAGGAATTCCTTACTCTGCTCCTGGAAATATATGGCAGATGGCCACATTGAGCCCTGAACCCGGGCTGTGTCTGTGTGGTATTTTCCATGAGTTACTGCCCATCCCTCAGGTCTCCTCTTCCTTTCAGTTCCCTGGCTTCACTATTTAAAGGTAGGTCATTAGCACATTCAAATTATCTTAAAAGCTGTAAAATTAAAAGGAACTTTTTACCATGCCCACTTTTTAAGAACAAGCTCAAGGTGGAAAAGGCTCCTTGGAAGGCCTCATGGAGACAAAGAATGATAGATGCAGATTTTAAAACCTTCGAAATTCTGCTGGCTCACATATTCTTTTGGCTTTACCCAGACCCTGGCTCCTTTAGACGTGTGCTTTTTGCTACTAAAGCAGTTGCATTTGAATACCATCCTGTTTTCCTTCTAAAAAGCTAGAGACATTATAGAGAGTTAGCTGAACTCTCTATAGCTATTTTAGAAATTTATGAAGAGTTCTTACCTTGAATCCATCTGCATTTCCATCTATGTAGATGCTGAAAGGACCTGGCAAAACTTTTAAATGAGGTAATAATGGAATTCATTACGTGAGAGAAAAATAAAATTGGAAAGAGTGTGTTGAAACATGAAAGATGTTTGAAATACCGTTAAGACAACAAAACCAACCTTTTTCAATTTTTCTCTGGTAGAAAAAGTTTGGCACTTAATAGTTGTGTGTCTTTAGTTTCCTTATCTGGAAAACAAGAGGAGTTCATAGTTTCTTCTTAATGTGGCTATGATAAGGATAAAATAAAACAATGCAGGTAAAGTCCTTAGATCGTTCAAGGAATGGTGGCTTCTAAGCCCAAAATGGTGCTCAAGTTAGGAAAGAGAGTAAAATTTACATGTAACATTTTCAGGAAGTTTAAATGAATCTAATGAAAACTTGCTAAATGTCCAGGACAAAGGTGAGGCAGGTAAAACACTAGCCTTGGGTGCAAAATGTAAGGAGGAACCAAAATTTCAGTAATCAAGATAAATCATAACTTAATATTTTTGAAAAAAAAAATCTGCAAACCACAATCCAGAGGCTACCTGCTTGTTTTTATAAATAAAGCTTTATTGGAACTTCTGAGGAACGAGGAAAATAAATTGAAAAAGAGCCGGAGCTTCAGTAGGGTCTCTATACCCTGAGGTTCCAAACTAGAATTTCTTATACTAGAGCTGCTTGCTAAACAGACAACTTCCTGATGTTGTGCTGGAAGATGCTGAGAAAGCCTGCATTCATTCATTATCTTTACAGTCTGAATGAAGTCTCTCTGGGCAGGAGAGAAACGCCTGCCCTTATGGTGGGTTACTGTTGTGAGAGAAAGGGTAACAAGCCACCCAGAAATGTAACCTGGGGCCAAAAATGACTTGTTTACTCAACCAAGGACCCAACGTCCACAAAATACTAGCTTTAGCTTACATATTTGAAAAATCGCTGAAATAAATGTCTGAATATTCTCTGGGTACTCCATAAATATGAGCCATTTTTTAAATAATAGGAGAATCGTTAATATAATTTAAAGAATGGAATCTGCAGTTGACCCGGAATGATATAAATGGTAGGCCCATTAATCAGCCTGCCTTGGGACAAGGCCAATACTAGATAAAGGTAGAGTGGAGCATTCAAAAGCGGGGGAGGGCGCTGGCTTTCCTTCCACGCTTAGGTATGCATCCTACCACCTACAAAAGTGGTTCAGATTACTGAAGTTTCCACCACCAAGCAATTCTTAGAGACAGTACAAAGATTCATAATTTATGTTGCCAAAAATTTATCCATTTCTTTTTTAAAAATTAATTTTATTGAAGTATTTATATAACATTATATGTTTCAGGTATATAATGTAATGATTTGA